TATATAATTCAAAAGGTCAAAGTGCCATGTCAGCAAATGTGGACGGAATTTTAGCCTAGGGGCTGATTCGGTTCATTTCGAAGTTCAGGGGGGTATTTTATACGTTGGGTATAGTTCAGGTAGGTAAATTGAAGTTTACCCTATAAGTAATTTAAAATATTTTTTCGAACTTTCACACGAATTTTTTTTGTAATTTTACAAACTTATTATTGTTTATATAATTTCGTATTTAGTATTTTGTGGAATTTCCATAAATGAAATATTTTATTAGTTTTAACTATATTTGCCAATTTTTTGAAACATTTAATTCATAATTATAATTGAAAATGGTTTTTGATAATTTTTTGAGTCTGTGAACTGAATTTTAATTTTTGTTAATTTTATATTTTTTTATAATATTTATGAGATTGTATAATCTTTGTATTGTCCAGAAATTCGAGAAAATGTGGTCAATTTGCCACATAGCTTTGACTAGCGGAATGGTTAATAGCAGGGGGTTGTTTGTAGTTTTTGATACTATAGGGGGATGAATACGACATTTTCCATAGTATAAGAGTGCAAAGTGTATTTTACCCAAAAAATAATTAATAAGGAAGAAACATACTGTATAATTTATTTCTATTTTGATAACCTTGACTCGTTTTAGGACTCTCTCCTCCTTAGAACTTAAAATTAAGAAAATAATATACATTATTACCTAATCATATAAGAATGGGATTTGAATTTTAATTCTCAGTAGTAGTAATCTAGCAGATTTTAAAGGAAAATTAAACTACCCAAGTTAATATTTAATAACAAATTTCATATATATATATATATATATATATATATATATATATATATATATATATATATATATATATATATATATATATATATATATATATATATAATGGGACATGTAAAATTATTGGGGGGCAACAGCCCCCCTATGCATACAGAGGATCCGCCCCCGAGTACCGTACACATTGTGTGTTAGAAATCCTGCTGCATTTGTATTTTCCATGTCTAGTTATTTAATCCAAAGTTCAGAAATATGAAACAAAACAGATTTCCAAAATGTCTTGATTTTCCTTGTGTCTTCCAAAATCTGTCAGACAACTTAAAATAAAATCTCTCGCTGCATCTTGACTTTTGTTATACAAGTAGGGCTGTGCATGGATCGGTTTTAACTTTTAACCACCAACCAACCCATTTTCGACCCATAATTTGTGACGGATAATCAACCATCAACCGACCCATTTAAGTTGGGTCGATAATATCAACCAACCCATGTATAGTTGGGTCGATAATGGTTTTTGATATGCTAAAAAGTTGGTTAGAATATGCGAATTTTCCTATAAGCCCCTTAATTTTAAGTAATGTTTTCTCTGCCCCTAAAAGTAGGGGTATTCACTAATCAGTGATTAGTAATAAATATGTATTAATTTTACCTCCGTTTCAAAACAATTTTTGCCCATCTATATAATATATAAAGGGAGAATACACAATTGAAGTTTTGACATCTTCAATTTTGATCTCAAATCTTTTCATCTCTTTTATTTGTGGACTTACTTTGGTTCACTTTCCTTTTACACTATCCCATGCACAATAATCTATATAATCTATAAAGGGAGAATACACAATTGAAGTTTTAACATCTTCAATTTTGATCCCAAATATTTTCATCTCTTTTATTTGTGGACTTCTTTCCATAATTATTATTGCATTCCAATTTATCACTATAAAACATTGTTTTAATATATAGAATGTCATTAAACTTTATTTTAAATTATGAAACAATTTATCCACTTTAGGAATTTCATGTTTTTTGTATTTTTTGCCAACCATGAAAAATATTTTTAAAATACCAATTGTTATTAAAATAATTTATATTAATGGAAACGTCGTAAATTTAATACTTACTTAAATATACATATTATTAAATTCAATTTATTATGCAAGTTTTATTTAATTATTATTTTTCATTAATTTAAATTATTTTATCACATGTGATTAAAATATACGGAGAATGTTGTTATTAAAATAATTTAAATTAATGGAAAACATCGTAATTAAAATAGTAAATTTAATACTTACTTAAATATACATATTATTAAATTCAATTTATTATGCAAATTTTATTTAATTATTATTTTATTTATTTAATTATATTACTTTGCAAATTTTAATATAATACTTATTTTAATGGAAAAAATAAAATGCTTATTTTAATGGAAAAACTATACATTGTAATAGAATGCTTATTTAATTATATTGTTTTGTAATAAGTATATTTATTACGTATTAAAAAAATCTAATCTATCTACATAATCAATAATGGGAAAATTCACAATCAAAAAATGTCATCTTCCATTTTGACCCCATTTATTTTCTTTATTTGACTTTGGTTCACTTTCCTTTTACACTATCCCATGCACAATAATCTTATTTTGAATTATTTATTCTATAAGTTTCATTGCATATAAATAATTAACTAAATATTATATCTACATACCTTATATAATAAACTACTTACATTTTCATCACGTAAATTAATTGCATATAAGGTATATAAATACAATTGCATATTTATATACCATATAAATTAATATATGCAATTAATTTGAATTAATTTGAATCCAAATGACTAAATAATCTTTATCTACATACCTTATATAATCAATTATTAACATTCTCACATTTACATACCTTTTGATTTTTCAATTAGCGTTAATTTGAATTAATTCCCCTACAAATGAGGTATAATGATTTCTTTCCATTTTTTCCATTTATATTGTCCTTAATTATTTAGATTGTCCAAATCGTTTGAATTTTTATAATTGAAGTTGCACAATTAGTGTTACAATTTATTTCTTAATTAAATGATTTATTTTCCTTATACAACATATTCAAACAAACTATATAATGTCATAATGGCTTCACTCAGTTTCTTCATCCTATTTATTCAAAACTTCATATTGCTATGCTTATAAAACCAATTATACATTGTTACCTTTTTTTTACCAAATTCAACACAAGTTATAAAACCCCGACCATTTCCATCACACTCATCACATTCACCCAACAAATTACACAAGTAAGTTTAATTTTTTTGGGTCTATTAATTGTTTTCGTATGCTTTATGTTTATTCATTTTTTTATAATCATTTTCGATTAATGGTATTCAATTAATTACCTAAATTAATTGGTCATATATTAGTGGGTTATTATATTTTCGATTTTTCATCCCTATTAGTGGGTCATATATATGGCTAAATTAAAATAATATATATTTGCTCAATTATATGGGATGGTTGCAAATTAGGTAATTTCATTTTATTTAAGCTAACTAATTAATTTTGTTTGATTATTTTAAGTGTATATATGAATATTTACAATTTGGTGTTAGTTAATTGATGAGTATTTTTTTTCAATATTTAACTATGTAGAATGCAATCTTTATTTGATGAAATAAAATAATAATGTTCAAAAAAAAAAATTAGGAATGAGTATATATGTATGTATAATATCACACGATTATTATTATACTTTCCATTAGTATACATATCTAGAATTATATATATTTTCCATAGTAATTAAATTAAGAATCTTAATTTACAGTTTTAATTATATATTTAAGCACCGTACTAATCTTTGTTTTTTTTTCTTTCTACATACGCATGCTACTATCAAAACTTGATTAAATAATGATTATCACAGTTGGTTAGGCACAAAATTGAATAGTTCATAATTAATTGAAGTGTCGACGCATCAGAAGTATACGAATATATATAGGTCAGTTTTATACAAATTCATTTTTTGTTGGATTTGATGGTTGTTTTAATTAATTGTTGTGTGTTTGCAAAGTTAAGAACAATTTAAATAATATACAATCAATACCATGTCTTTCTTGGTCAAAATCATTGGCATATCATGCGATTTACTTGCTATGTCTTTTCAATATTTTGATAGAAGAACCAGTTTATGTTTATCATCAGAATTTAATATACACATTTTTTTCTGTTATACCAATGTTGACATCTAATTGTAATCTGATTGCATCATCGTATCCTTTCTAGATGGACGCGATACTGCGAAATCACCGAATTCACAGAATACATCCATTCTCTATGATGTACCTATTGGTAAGACTTTAATAAATAATACAAATTTAATATTTTCGTTCATATGATAATAATCTATAAAATATATTTTACTTCTCATTTCATATGTACATTTGTTTAACTGTATAATCAGTATATTATTCGGAAAAATAACTTTAATTAACATTTATTTTTGTCAATTTCTTACTGTATTAGATGATTTTTTTTTTCAATACACGTTTGTTTTTATTCCTTTTTGTATGTATTTAGAATATTCATCGCAACCGGTTGACAAAAAAGTTGCAAAACCCCAAGCGCAACATCAACACCGACAGTACGCGATTTTCGCCAAATGTAGTTGTTGGTAACGTTTTACAATAAAATAGCCTATCGTTTCATATTTCACAATACTTATTGTACGTTTTAATACATATGTTATTGGTTGACTACAACCGTTGATTTTCCACACTTAAGATTTGTAGTTCTATTATGAATCTTATGTAGTAATTTCTTTCAGGTACCTTTAATGCTAAGAGATCATCAATATTAAGGAAAAATATTGGTTTTGGGTATAATGATTTATCAAGCAATACGTCAGAAAGTAAGAATTGTACTATTTATTATATATATAAAATAACAATATAATTGTATAAGTGTTCGCATAATTTCAACTTCTACGAATGTACAGTTGTCAACAATTCGAATGTGGTGCCTGCTCAACAATACTCCATGAAAGAGAATTGGCACCCAAGAGCGCGGAATACTCACGAAGTGACTAATGGTGTGGATGCTACACTACTACTTATCATTATAGTTTGGTATATTTACTTATTGTTAATGTGTACTGTCAAATAATCTCTTATATATTGTCAACACACTTTAGACCACCTTGATAACGGAAAGGGAAAAAATATCATGGACGAAGCCATAAAACCGCAAGATGCTTCATTCTATGGAATGAGTGGTGTTCATAAGCGATCTGCTTGCGTTCTTACAGATATAACGAATGGTTAGTTATTAACCTCATCGGACATTTAAATACCACTATTTACATTTATATGATGTTTGAACTTTAAAGTAACGATTCAACTGTACGAATAAAATAATAATTTTATTTGATATCATGTTCGAAATAGACCTTCTCTTAACCAACATGAACACGTTTAAATTATATAGATTGTATATATGTGTTTTACCTATATTGAACTAAATATTTCATGTTTAATATTTGCAGTTAATCAAGAAACGGTGCAACAAGTTCCTTCTGAAAAAAGGAAATTGCTACATGATGCTTTTAATACACGACGTGTTGTTCGGACGCAATCGAGTTGGATTCTCAGTGATGTTTCAAATGGGGAGTTAATGACTTATACTTAATATTTCAAATAAGTTTGCTTTTCATATATTTTACATTTTTTATATTAAATTTCCTTACAATTGATTATATTTTCACCCAAAAGGAGAAAAACAAGCAATTGAAAAGGGAAAAAGGAATTATCATCGAGCACGGAACATCGCATGAAGACGCATTTCATGGAATCCGCGGTTTTCAAACTCCATTGAGCTGCATTACATCGGACATACTTAATGGTAATAACGCACTCAATAACCTTTACGACTGGCACGCACACACGCTACATAATTCGTTTATTGTTTAATGACATTTTAAACATCAACTACCTTGAAATTAGACCATATTAAATACTTCATTATTTTACCATTGTTTTAAAATAATAATAATAGAAAATGCTAACATTTAAAGAAAAAATTACATATACAAAATGATAATTTATAAATTGAAATTAATTTTTTTTCTATTGTTCCATCTTATTAACAAAATAGGAAATTCAAGTCATCAAAAGTACGTACAAAACCTACAAAGAGATGAGGTGCATGGATTAAATGTTCCAAACGTAATGCGACGTTTCGTGGAAAAACTATCATTGGAACCCCGTCGAGTACAACTAGAAAAATCCAATTTCCTATATATAAACCAAATGTTGTAGAATTTTCAACTACCGACAAGCTAAATCGTGCAATATTAGCAAAATAAAATATCCATACTACCGTCGACGGGAGCACGTTACCCTATGAAGGTGATTTCGTCAATTAATATTTCTTATACCATCAAAACATAAAATCAAAGAACGTTTTTTTATTAAATGTTTTAACTTTTAATTTTATCCCGGAACACATACTAACCGGCACTATTATGATCCTAATCGGGAACGACTGACATTCCGGTTAACTCTCTAAATTCATTCTACGAAACCACAAGAAGGTGATTTGTTTTTTGTTTTTTTTTTTTGATATGCACGTTCGTGATTACATTATGTAGTTAATATTATTATTATTCTATGTAATGCAATATATATATATAATTATCATTTTTAATATACAGACATGGAAAGAGAATTTCAAGAAGTAAAAAAAGGATACAATCGGTTGCACGTGGATTAAGTATACTAGAAGACGAGGATTCTCAAATATTACGAGATGTCACATCGGACAGTGGAGGTAACTACTGTTTTTTTTTTTTTAATAACACGCGGTTTGCCAAATACATTGTTCTAATATACAATAACCAGTGAATGATAAAAAAATATTTTTATTGACAGATTCTGAGTATGTTTCCAACGACGACAATAGCGATGATTCAGCTGATTATGAAGGTAATAATTTTTTTTTTAATCTTTAAACATTATATTATTATTATTATTTAGTCTTTCAAATTTATGGATGATTGTAATTTGCCATTATCGTATTTGATTCGACGTTACGCTATACCAGATTACGACGATCTGGGAGATCAGTCGTATGAATGTCAATCGTGTGGTGCAATGATGTGGTGCGCTGAGCGCCTTGATAAGCACATGAACACATCGAGACCCGATTTTTCTCTGTGTTGTCAGAAAGATAAAGTACAACTGCCTTATATGAAAAATGCCCCACCTACTCTTTCTAATTTACTTTTCGGTACGGATAGGCAGAGCAAACATTTTCATGACAATATTCGTTCTTACAACATGATGTTTGCTTTCACATCACTTGGCGGAAAGGTCCAAACATCTATTAATACGGGTGCTGGACCATACACATTTTTACTTCAAGGTCAGAATTACCACATGTTGGGTAGTATGTTACCAGAGAAAGGTGCACGACCTAAATTCGCACAACTTTACATCTTCGATACGGAGAATGAAGTCCGCAATAAAATTGATGTTGTCAGGTAAAATTATTTTCATTTTTCGTGCACCCATTTATAGTACATATGAAGTATTTCGAGGCGAGTGCAATTCTTTAATATTTTTTTATTGTAGGTCTGGAAATGGCTCGAACAACCTTGGTACTCAAATTGTTGCATCCTTGAAGGATATGATCGACGAGAACAACGTCCTTGCTCAGTCGTATAGAGCTGCCCGTAATCGATTTTTGAGAGAAGGCCTGCAAGGTGTTAAGCTAAAGCTGGTTAAGAGTCGTAGCACCGATGGGAGGACTTACAATCTCCCTAATGCGGGTGAGATAGCAGCGTTGATAGTTGGAGATTTTGACATGCAATAGGGTGTTAGAGACATTGTGGTTGAGACTCAGTCCAAGAAGTTGCAACACATTAGTGAACTGCACCCATTGTACCTGTCGTTCCAGTATCCGCTCATATTTCCTTACGTGGAAGATGGATATAGAGAGGATATTGACTTGAGAGACTCTTTTCGAGGTAACAGTGGAAAACGAAAGAACTTAACCATGCGAGAATACTTTGCTTACCGTTTCCAAAAAAGAAGCATCGACAGTCCAGTACTGCTGAATTCAAAAAAGTTGTTCCAACAGCTTGGAGTGGACGCGTATTCTATGATTGAGTCGCAAAGGTTGAATTTTATTAGGCACAACCAGGACCAGTTGCGTGTGGACATGTACAAAGGCATTGAAGAACGTTTTTTCAAAGGGGACACTGAGGGAAAATCAGTTGGAAAACGGATAATTCTGCCGGGTTCTTTCATTCCTGGACCTCGGTACATGTTCAATAATTTTGTCGACGCACTTCAAATTTGTAACTGGATTGGTTTTCCATCATTGTTCATAACTATTATATGCAACCCACAATGGCCTGAAATACAAAGGGTCCTCAATGATACAAGTCTCAGATCGGAGGATCGCCCTGATATTCTATGCCGCATATTCAAAATGAAGTTGGACAGTTTGATGACGGATTTCAAGAAGGGACATATATTCGGACGAATTAGAGCACGTAAGTCATGAACTCTTTTTAATAAATTACTTTGCGAGTAAATTCATTACATCACGTATCGTATTAAAGTATGCATATTAATTTACGTAATTTACATAATTATTTTTATACGCAGATGTGTGTACTATAGAATTTCAGAAGCGTGGTCTGCCTCATGCACATATATTATTGTGGTTGGATAACGATGCCAAACCTAAGTGCTCCGCCGACATCGACAGGATGATATGTTCGGAAATTCTTGACAAAAAAACCGACAGAAAGATGTACAACTTGGTTGAGAAATACATGATACACGGCCCGTGCGGCCATGCGAATTTGAATTCACCTTGCATGAAGGATGGCGTTTGCACGAAGAGGTTTCCAAAAAAGTTTGTACAGCGAACCGAGGCCGATCCTGATGGTTACCCGGTATATAGGAGAAGGGATGATGGAAGAACGGTTAGGAAGAAGAATACTATTCTTGATAATGGATTTGTGGTTCCCTACAACCGTGTGTTATTGAGTAAATACCGATCCCACATCAATATTGAGTTGTGCAACCAGAGCAAGTCAATAAAGTATTTGTTCAAGTACGTCAACAAGGGACACGATCGTGTCACGGCAACATTTTTCCAACCTCCGTCTACGGACGCTGATCCTGCTGTTCGTGATGAGATCAAAATGTATTATGACTGCAGATATTTGTCAGCGTGCGAGACAATGTGGAGGATATTTGCATTTGAGATACATTACCAAGATCCACCCGTCATTAGATTGAGTTTCCATCTCCCCGACAATCAACCGTTGGTATTCAATGAGAACCAATCATTAAAGAGTGTCTTGGAAAGGCCAACCGCGAGGCAAACCATGTTCTTGGCATGGTTCGAGGCGAACAAGACCTACCCACAAGCTAAGGAGTTACGGTACGCAGAGTTTCCCCAACATTATGTGTACAAGGATGATTCTCGGGTGTGGGTGCCAAGAAAGAAGAGGTTTGCCATTAGAAGAGTCACCAACGTGTCCCCGACAAAGGGAGAAGACTTTTATCTTAGATTGTTGCTCAACGTCCAAAGAGGGTGCAAAAGTTACGAGGACATCAGAACGGTGGGTGGCAATGTTTACGCGACGTTTAGGGATGCGTGCTATATTTTGGGGTTGTTGGAAGATGACAAAGAGTACATTGGTGCAATTAGAGAGGCATACGGTTGGGCAAACGGACACTTCCTCAGATTGCTGTTCGCTGTTATGTTGCTTTCTAATAGTTTTAGCAGACCGGAACATGTTTGGGAGAAATGTTGGTCCAATTTGTCTGATGATATTACATACAAGCACTAGAAAAGTCATAATAATCCAGTTATCGATTAGTTTTGTGGTATTTTACAAATTTTTGTTCAAGTTCTTATTTGTTCGGAACACATTTGTCTTACTATCTATACCTTTGCAGATTTGGCTCTATCGGATGATAGTTTGAAGAATTACGCGTTGATAGAAATCGAGAAGATCCTACAGAGCAACGACAAGAGCTTGCGGAATTTTGACTCTATGCCGATGCCACTAGATTCGTCGATGGATGACACGGAGAACCGATTAGTGCTCGATGAGTTGGACTACGATGTATTTGCGATGGCTGAAGAACTGAAACGATATCTTTCTTCTATCACAGATGAGCAGAGAAGGGTCTACGATGTCGAAGAATTGAGGCGGGACGTACTTCCTCTACGGTCACGGAGGTGCCGGAAAGACATTTATATGGAGAACGTTGTCCGCTGCTGTCCGTTCGAAGGGGGAAATAGTTCTTAATGTTGCTTCGAGTGGCATAGCATCGTTTCTGCTTCCCGGTGGCCGGACCGCTCATTCTAGATTTGGACTCCCCATCATTGTGCACGATGGTTCCACCTGCAGCATTACACAGCAGAGTCCACAAACAGAATTGCTTATAAAGGCGAGGCTCATCATATGAGACGAGGCACCAATGATGCATAGATATTGTTTCGAAGCGCTTGACAAGACCTTGCGATCTATCACGCATGTTCCCAAACCATTCGGTGGCAAGGTTGTCGTTCTTGGCGGAGACTTTAGACAGATTTTACCTGTTGTACTGAAGGCATCAAGGCAGGACATTGTTCACGCTACGATCAACTCATCTCAGCTTTGGGAAGAATGTAAGGTTCTTAAGTTGCATACTAATATGAGGCTTCAATCAAGTTCTAATCCATCGGAAGTTGAAGAAGTAAAGGAGTTTGTTGATTGGATACTGAGTATCGGTAATGGGGAGGCGGGAGAGCAAAACGATGGTGAAGCGTCTGTTGAGATTCCCGAGGACATGCTAATCCCGATTCCGAAGATCCATTATTGGAGTTGTTGCAGTTTGTATATCCGAATTTGTTGAGTAACATATCAAATCCCGATTACTTCAAAGGGATGGTGGTGTTTGCGCCGACTTATGACTGCGTTGAGTTTGTCAACGAATACTTATGTTCCCTCATTCCCGGCAAAGAGAAGTTGTACCTCAGTGCGGATAGTATGTGCAAGGATGAGATGAGTTCGGAAGAGAATGCTCAAATTTATACGACCGAATTCCTCAGCACCGTGTCTTGCTCCGGTCTCCCTTCACATAGGCTGAAACTCAAGGAAAATGTTCCTGTTATGCTCATACGAAACATCGACCAGGCGAGAGGCCTTTGCAATGGAACCAGACTTCAAGTTGTTAGAATGGGAACTCATGTTCTTAGCTGCAAGGTTCTATCCGGCAAAAATACCGGTGATGTTGTTTTCATTCCTCGAATGACGTTGGACCCGTCGAACTCTACTCTGCCAATTAAGTTCCAGATGCGACAATTTCCACTGATGATTTCCTTTGCAATGACCATCAACAAGAGTCAGGGTCAAACACTTTCCCACGTTGGTTTGTATCTACCCAAACCTGTATTCAGCCATGGTCAGTTGTACGTTGCACTCTCGAGAGTCAAGAGTAGATCTGACATAAAGATCCTAATCAAGTCCGAATCCGGTGGGTTGTCGAGTTCAACTAGCAACGTTGTTTACAAAGAAGTATTTCAGCGCATATGAAGGTATATGTCGTAAATTATCGTCTATTTATATTATTATAACGATATTTAGTCTTATTAATGCGTGTATATCCTCTTTATGTTTAGGTATGTTTGCACGTGATTTTGTATTTCTAGCATATTCGCTGCATTCGCTTTTGGTAAGTAATGTAATGTAAATATTATTTGATTACGCATTATTGTCATTGTTGTTTCATAAAGAATGCATTGAACTCAATTCATGTGAAGTACGCAAATTTTGCAGGTTATCTATTATGTACTGTTAGATTTAAGCGGACCAACGAGGTGGTGCAGTGCGTTTGATTCCATTACTTTAATTAGTTCTAGCATTCTCATATGGAAGACATGTTGAACGAAATATTTTATGCATTATGTTATAAACAAATATTATGTTGCTTCGGACCAAATGTTTTTGTTTAACAACATATTTGCTTATATTAGTTTTATATTTATTTTGAAATATTTTTCTTTACGATCCTAAATTGTTCAATAGTAGATTTGTTCTCGAAGGTGATCACCGTGCATCGCACGGGTGAAATACTAGTATTATTGATTGTTCAAGCTCATTAATTTGTGCCGCCAATTTATTTCTTCAAAGTTTGTGAGGGGAAATTTAGGAATTTTTTTAGGGTAAATTACGACCACCCTCTTGAGGTAAGGTTAAATTATGAAAAAATATTCTTGTTTTAGAAATTACAATCACCTCCTCAACTATGAATTTCCTTACACGTCCATCCTTATGGTCTCAAATTCAACATAATTCTCTAAATTATGTGGAATGTTCTATAGTTTGTACTTGTTTTGTGTAAAAATGCAGTTTCTAATGCACCACAATCTGATATTTACAAGTCAAGAGACACATATTTATGATTTTCTTGTTTCAAAATGTGGAGCTGGATAGAAGTAAAACATGTACAAACTGAAGAATATTTCACATTATCTAGAAAATTCCACTAATTTTAACACCAAAATGATGGACGTGTAAGTATATTTATAGTTGATTGTAATTACTCAATATGAAGGAGATTTCGTTATAACATTATCTGAGGGGGTTGACCGTAATTTACCCTTGTTATTCATTCTATTTTGATCATATACATATTTGTAATTTACCCTTGTAATATACATCTAACTATAAATGCATACATATTTACATATATGATATATCTAACAAAACAACACAATATCAATAAATTATTTCTTGAATAGCAAGGCAAGAAAATTTTCTTGGAGAATAAGACAAGTAAATAAAATGGTATACATACATATACATATATATATATATATATATATATATATATATATATATATATATATATATATTCAGTTTTTGTTTGTCACTTCCTTTATACAAAGTTCATAGGGTTCGATATGAACGAGGCCAATACGCCCAACGTTTTCTTGTTCATTAATTCAAAACCACTAACCCAATGCACACTCTTCAATTCACACCCTCTCTTCTCACTAATTAAATAAATAAATAAATAAATAATAAAATATAAAAATAAAAACCCAATTCCGAACAGCAAAATTTGTTCACTCCATTTTGTATCTTCTTACATATGGTATGTATTTTGTTCATCTATGCTCCATGCTTTGATCACGAGTTTGACTATATTAAAAGTCGTGGGTATTTATGTAATTATGCAATTTTAATTTGCAGGTTTTCATGGCTAAGATGATGACGTCACTGGCGAGAGCAATGGGGTTGATGGTGGCTCAGCCGGCGGCGACAGTCACTACGGTGTTGTATTACAGTGACTTACTTCCTCGGAGCGTTGACTTTGACCGGTTTGTTCAGCATGAGTTGTTTGTTGAGTCTGAGAATTTCTTTCTTCATTTTCTCGTCTATTTCTTGAAATGTTTTTGGTAAATTATTATATATTGTTGAATTAATGATAATTATATGCATTTGACTAATTTGGACTTTGGAGTGAGTGCTTTAGAGTACGGAACTTATTAGAAAAATAATATTTTTTGATAATATTTTATTGTCAATAATTGATGTTTTTTCCTTTTATTATATGTAAAGATAATTTAATTTAATGTAATTGTACAAGGGGTTATATGCTTTTATTATCTGTACAAGGGAATCGTGTGCTATATTGAAAGAATAGGAGGGTCGCATGCACAAAGTTAAAATTACACGAGGGGGTAAGCGCTATTTACACAAAGTCTTGTAGTCAAAGCCCAACACTAAATAGCTCTAGTAATATAAAGGCTATAGTTTGAGCCCATAAAAAAATAGGTATTAATTAATTAATTGGAGTTAAATTTGCATAAATGTATTGAGCAGATTGCCACGAATACAAAGATCCAATAAGATGTAATTTTGGTGCACATGCACATCAACTTTTTTAATAAGCGTGCTCCAATTAAACATATTAAATTAGCGACTTTTTATCTTAGGTTGTGATTAAAACCACCGCTTAAGGTATTCTTCGTTTTACATTTCTACTCTTACGGAGTTAACCCAAATAAAATCTTTCCGATTCCAAGGAATATTTGTTCAATATTTCCAATTTTAACCTTATGCATTTTTGCGGCGATGGAGGTGCGGTGCTATATTTAAAATGTGGAGACGTGAACGGGAAGACGTAGGGTTTGAATGTTATTTTTTTTCCTTTCTGGTATACTCCTTCCGTTCCTATGTCACTTTTCATTTTTCACAAAGATTAAGAAACTCAATAAATATATCTTGATTTTAGAAAAATCATATAAAAATGACTAAAACAACCTTTATTATTTAATGATTTATAAGAGAAAACTAATGAATAGAGTTTCATTAATAAGGATTAATAACGTTAAAACAGGAAAAATGCATTTAATGCACTATTGGAAATCTAAAGTGACAGATAATATGGAACAAAAATATTTTTAAAAAGAGACAGTTATTGTGGAACATATGAAGTATATTGTAAACATAATGGGTCAATTGGTATTTTCATTATATGATTTTCCTTTTTTTTTTTAAATATAAGTAAACGGTAATTTAGACAATTCAGATGTTTTGTTAGGGTTTTGAAGTTGTCATTAAATCTAGGGACGTGATTGTAATTATGGAAATAGAAGTTTTTTTTCGTAACTTAAGCTTACATTAGGGGTAACCGTAATTTAAGTAGCAACCTTTCGTTATGGCAATTGGCTCAACATTTGAGGATTATTTAATGCACGTCACGTTTGAATTGAATTATTCTTGCATGACATTTTTTTTTTCAACTCTTACATATGTTCTTTGGACTGCCCATACTCCGTAGACACATCTTCAATAACGACAATTTTCTTAGGAGAAAAACATGACACATGAAAAATTGGTTTTAAATTATTAATCTCCGACTTATTCACATCAATTATTTGCTACATCGCACAGATACAGAAACACTGATATGGGGAAATACGGAAATGGATATGGAGAAACTCCATTTTCCAAAAAGTTGGATACGATAAAATGGGGAAATGCGTGAATAATAAAATATAGGGGTGCATTCATAGTTTCTAAAAATATTATAATATTTAATGTCATTCTACAAATTACATTTGAGGCATATAAATTTATTTTAATATGGAATTAATATCTACAAAAATATTAAAACACCACTAGAAGTGAAAAGAAGATATAATATTTAAGATTTTTTTTAAGCGTATGCAATTCGAAGTTTTATTTAAAATGAAATTTGGATTTATTTTTTCGAATTTTTCATTATTATCAGAAACGTCCCCAAAACTTTTAAATATTTATGAAAACGACCGCGAATCGTTTCCGACATGTGTCATGGGGTTTCGTTTTCCGAAATGTGAAAACGCGTGTGGGTTGAAATTTCCGTGTATCATAGATTATTTATGAGTTGATCGGTAGATATTATTAGTACACAAAAATTATTAGGTTCCTCCCCCAAAATGTAATTCCACCCTGGCCCCTACGCCAGGTTGAAGCTTTTAATTGTTGCATTTAAGAAAAAACAAATTTTGTATGTCTACTTTGATGATATATATAAATATAAAATTGGGTAAAGAGCACATACCCCTGTGATTTGAATTTTGTGAATATGATCCCTTGTATTTTCAATATAATATATGACCCCTTTATATTTAATATAAACAAATAACCTCCTTGTGTTTTCAATATAACATACGGCCCCGTTATATTTTAATATAAACATATAATCTCCTTGTACTTTCAAAAATTTCATCTTCCTAATGAGTATGATTATTTACCAAGTAGAGTATCATATGGGGTAATGTGCTTATATTAAAAGTAGAAGGGTGTTATGTACACAAAGTTCAAACTATAAGAGGGCCGGTCATATGCACAAAGCATAAACCACATGGGGTTAAGTCCTATTTACACTATATAATTGCTTTATTTTAATTTGGGTTGAAGTTCTTACTCGTTCAGTCACCGCTATAAGGTTCTACTGACTAAATAGTAGGGGCTAATAACATGTCTAATTGGCAAGATTCACAGTTTTTCAAACTCGCTACTAAAATCAAAACCCGCTATTAAATGCTACTATTACATTAAATTAGTTACACCCCTCCCCAGAGATTAATTTAATGGAGGTGATTAAAAAGGAAAAAGATAATTCTATCCTTCAAATCATATCGTATCATTTTAAAGTAAGTGATTTTATAGACAATTCATATATAATAACTAAATCTAATAAATTTAATAGAAAATCTAATCAAAGCAACCAAACATGCTACTAACTAAATAGGGATAATTTGACAAACACCCCTCATTAGCCTCATTCAATTACAATGAGTCCAAAAAAAATTACATTTTTATGATAAATCCAAAATAATTTTAATTAATATAAATAAATATAGTTTCACGATTATACCCTTCCTGATATCAATTTTCTTTTTATTTTATATTGAGTTATTTCTCAAACCCTAGATCTTATATTTGCATCACGATGGTTCCTTCTATCTTCTCTCTACACCCACAGCACCGCTGCGGGTACCC